TTTTAATCGGATAAAAGAAGGACTAAAAATCAACAAAACATGGATACCAATATTAAAATCCACAAACACCCTTCCCGCAAAACACGAAGAAAGAAAAACAACGAACGACACGCCCCCTCACGCCGAAACCCGTGAATGGGAGGCAAATAGAAAATATAAATATGGCCTCCGTAGTACAACGCGGCCACAGTATATTGCTTAAAAATAATTCTTTTCTTTTTAAGCAATATACTGTCACGCGGCGTCAGTTTCAGCTTTCAAACGAAGCAGTAACATCTCCAGAAGATGCCGACGCGCCGCACATTAAGATGCAGGTGACGCAGGCAACGCAGCGTAGGACAGCACAGGTTTCTGTTTTCCGTATAATTACATTACCCCGCGCGAATTGGAATGCAGAGCAGGGCAGCACAGAACTGTGTTTAAGAAAACCTGCCAGCGCAGTCGTCCGGACACAGATTCCTGTGCCACGTGCGGAGCAGTTTGTTTGTTTCTAGTAAAATTTTGTGTGGTTATATTCGAAATGAATGAACAATTAATCGAATTGGTGAGAAGCCAGAGAATTCTTTACGATATCAACGATCCCAATTATTTAAATTAAATAAGTAATTTACAAGAAGATAGTGAAGATGAACACCCACAACAGGAAGACTCCATAGTTAATCCAGAGAGTGAAATTTTTGACGAGGTGACCAGCGCCATTCGATATGATTCCGAAGAAATCCAGAGTGTTAAAAATGACATTGTTAATGAGCCGTCTACGTCTGGTATTGTTTTACAAAAAAATAACGAAAAAGAAAATACCAAACGTAAGGCAACTGAAGACCAATCAATCACAACCAAAGCAGCTAAAAATAAGAAACCTAAAAATGATGATATACAGGAAGTGATAAAGCAGTCAATTATGCAACGTCAAAAAGGGGCCGAAGAAAGAGCAGTTGAATGGGCAGCACAGAAGCCTTTGGATGATGATCTCTATCATTTTTATATGTCGATGTACAAAATAACCAAAAAATGCCTCCTAAATTTCAACATCGTGCAAGAAATGATGTGTTCCAAGCTATATTGCAGCTCGAAGCTGCATATCTAGAAATTCATGATCCCAGTCAAGAAAACTACACTCATAGTGAACAAAGAGTTTTCACAAGTGCATATATTAATCATGGTACAAATACAAACAGATAAGATACCGCGCATGTGGGCGTGGCTTATGCATGACTTTTGTGACGTCAGCTTGTGCTAAATTTCGCCATATTGTGTTTTGACGTTTATGTACATTTACGGTTCATAGCCAATATTAAATAAAATAATATTTTAAAAGTGTTACAAGGCTTTAAATTTTTCCCGATATGAGGTGTGCAGTGTATGGTTGTGCCGTTGACAATATGTGCAAGAGTTTTGTACCCGGCACAGCATTTTATAGCTTTCCAAAAGACAAGGAAATGCAAAAGCTGTTTGGAAACATTTGTTTCCAAAACACTTACCAGTGTTTTGTTTGTCTTCATTGGAGAACCATCTCTAAATGAAGCCAAATGTACGTTTAAAATTTTGTTAAATCTTCGTTTCTGCGAATGATATTATTTTTTGCAAAGTTTTTGTGTCCTTTGTTTCTGTTTTTTTTTAAGTTAGTTCTACATAATGAGTAAACTTAAGTACATATATAATAACATCTTTAATACGACATATTGAGTAAGAACTGATGAAGCTTTAGAAGTATAAAGCAAAATGTCTTCTATAAACTTATGAAGTAGTTGGCTTCTGTTTTTTATTTTGCCAACCTGAACGACCGGTTAACCTCTGAATTCACTAGTTAAATACTTTATTATTATATATATATATATTATATATATATATATATATATATATATATATATATATATAAGGTAGTCCAAAATTTTTTGACTAGTTTGGAAAAAATATGTAAATACTTTTTTCTTTTTGGGTGTGGTAGTCAATAAAAAATAGAGCTTTGCTAAGGCGTACTATTTATTCTGAAATCCGAGCTTTCGGTGGTTATTTGCCACCTTTATCAAGGTCTACAATGAAAATTACTGTGTTATAACATTAGGCTGATGTAATATAAAAGTTATAAAAACTTACCAGAAAGTAAGATTCATAGCATATAAAACACAACGTTAAATAACATAATGTGATCTGAATTATTGAAGGCATTAAAAATTTTAAAAACTTTAAAATACTTAAAAATTAAAGAACATGTTACAAAGTTTAAAAAGTAAAAAATAAGACGACGTGTTTGACAAAAAACAGTCGTCTTCGCAGGTTTGAATTCAACTTCTTCACCTGCGAAGACGACTGTTTTTTGTCAAACATGTCGTCTTATTTTTTACTTTTTAAACTTTGTAACATGTTCTTTAATTTTTAAGTATTTTAAAGTTTTTAAAATTTTTAATGCCTTCAATAATTCAGATCACATTATGTTATTTAACGTTGTGTTTTATATGCTATGAATCTTACTTTCTGGTAAGTTTTTATAACTTTTATATTACATCAGCCTAATGTTATAACACAGTAATTTTCATTGTAGACCTTGATAAAGGTGGCAAATAACCACCGAAAGCTCGGATTTCAGAATAAATAGTACGCCTTAGCAAAGCTCAATTTTTTATTGACTACCACACCCAAAAAGAAAAAAGTATTTACATATAGTATATATATATATATATATATATATATATATATAGGTAGGAGATTAAATAATTATAACCATATTTTAGCATATCCTGAAGAAGCTAATAAATTATTATGAAAGCTAAATAAAAGAACAAAAAGTTTTACTTATTCTGCCCTATTAATGACTGCAACCTCAAAAGAAATAGTTCACCTAACGTGTCAGTCAATAATACCTAACTACTATATATAAAATATATATTGTATGAAAATCACATTCCATAGTTAGCAATTTGTGGCATTCCGCCATGGCTCCCTCCATCAAACGTCACTCTTATGGGAAAATTGTTATTTTTTACAATATACTAATTTAAATACTTAAGCTTAAATTCACGTAGTAAATAAAACATCTAGTAAATTATATTAGAATTTCAACAGTTCGTTTCATCCGCAAGCATGAATACATTTTGAAAATTTAGCACAAGGTGACGTCATGCGCGTGAGTGTACGAGTTTAGTGCGTGGCAATATCATATCTGGTATCCTTATATCATGTATATTAATACCCATATTCAGCAGCCCCATTACTCGTCAACACCTCTTCCATCACCAAGTTCCAGTCACAGTAGCCAGCATACTGAGAATCAACATTGTAATTATCCTCTAGCTCCTATTCGTAACAACTCTTTTTTATGCTCAAATGATTACAACTCTAGAAGCACCAGTAATTATTCATCTACTACACTCACCCCCAGGTTGTCTGTTATGATATCTCCTCAAACCGTTGATACTGGTAATATTCGTAATTTTGTGGAAAATTATAGAGTATAGAATTATGATTGTTTAAAATGATATTTTTGTATTTTTTAATAAAACAAAATTAATTAAAATAATACCTTAAAAAAACAGCTAGTTTTTCTTTGGTTCCTATTGATTTTTGGGCATTACAACCATCTGAATAAATACTGTTTTCTATTATATTATGTACTTCATCAACTTGTTTTCTGCTTAACCGAAAATAATTTAAATAACGAGACTCAGAGAATTCTAATGATAGTGCTAATTCCTCATGAGTATTTCTCTTTTCCATATAGTTGCTTTTCCAAAATGATTTTTTTCTCTTTGACATGTTGAATAATAAAACTGTTTCTTCAAATTCTGTGTCTGACTCTGATTCGGAACTCTCCAGAAATAACGCCATTATTTAAATTATAAAATTCTCTTTCTATGTTCATATAATATATTCGATATTCGCACCTCAAAATTTTCGAGAAGACTGCTTCCAAATATGCGATCACACTGCGTGACACGTATATTTTCTGACCTGTGTAGCCTGTCCTGCACTGCGTCACCTGTGTCACCTGCGTCCCAATGTGCTGCTTACAGTGTTGGCAAAACGTCGAGAACTTATCTCAGAAAATAACACCTTAACAGCCCGAACAAACAGTTTAACAAGTTAGACGATGGCCGTGAAAGCCTAACGCATTTTACCAATGAAGTATGTTGCAGTGTCTTTACCCTTTCTGAGTGACTATCTAATTTTGTGGAATTTATTGTCCCAAAATATTTTATAAATAAATAAACATTGATTACCCGTAATTGGTTTTAAAGTTTTATTTTACTTATTTTTTTTACAATATTTACATCAAAAAAATGAAGATGGTACCAAAACTATTTTGTAGTCATTTTTCTATTTATAAAAAATATAAATCTATAAACGATCATACAATTTCAAAAATATAATCAATAAACTTTTGATTTAATATTTTAATTTACGCAGTTTTATTTTATTAATAAACTGTATGTGAATGATTGTTTACAATAATTAATTGGCTATGATGAGTACGTGTGCTTCGCAAAAAAATAAGTAATTACTAATTTCACTAGACTATGACAGGGACTGTCATAATACTGATATAATTTTCTAATATTTGGTAAGCCAAGAATCGGAATTATCCAGCCATGAATAAAAATCATTGATCTAATTGGTATAATGACAAAAAATAATTATATCTTTAATATTTATTTACTCCTTAACAAATCTTCTGATTAATACCTATCTTACTTATTGTTGTATGTCAATCAAAATAAGCAATTCTTATCTGAAATACCAGTGATGTTGCAGACAAATTTAACGGTTTGAGAAATGACGAAAAAAGTAAAAATTTTAGCCAAATGTGACGGAGGTAAAAATAGTACAACTAAAGCATGGGGTTCTTTGAAATGTAATGGAGGTGTGACATATTATTATATAAATTAATTGACTGCGAATTTTTTACGTTCGCAACCAAAAAGAAAATAGAAAATGGATTTGAATATTAGAAAGTATTGGGCACTGAGCAAAAAAGGTCATGAGAAAAACTATAGAAACGTGTTATTAGTAGTTTTATTATTGATCTAAATCTTTCATATTTCTATGACATTTAACATTTTGTTCATTTTTATAGAAAGGAGAAACGCCACTGCATCTTGCTGCCCGAGGCTGCAAGGCAGAAGTCGTTCAGCAGTTGATAACCTACGTGAAGGACCATAAAAGTGAAGAAAAGGCAGCAGCTTATATTAACGAAATTAACGAAAATGACGAAAGCGCCCTACATTATGTCTGTACAGTTACTAAAGAAGAGGTAAATGTCTTATTTTTAATCAATTGCATTATAATATCTAAGAGAGCATTCGTTCTTTGGTTGCTCATTAACATTTGCTTCATATTATACGATCTTCTGCAATGTCATATCACTTGGTGATTTCTTTTTTATTCTCATATCAATTACTTTTTCGTTCAGTTTTGTCATTAATAGATATATTTAATTCATTTTCTTTTTATGTCTTATTCTGTTTTTTTCAGGTTGAAGTGCCAAATTCAGATAGAGAAGTTGCGAAAATATTACTTGAAAACGGAGCTGATGTTAAACTTCTTACCAAACAACATGAATCAGCATTTCATTACGTTGCTTTAGCTGGTAATAACGATGTTGTTATGGAAATGATTTCGCATATGTCCCCTACTGACTCGCAGAAAGCTCTTAACAGGCAAAACGACCATGGGTGGACACCTTTGTTAATAGCATCTCGAAAGGGTAATGAAAGTTTATTATAGTACGTCTAGAAAGAACGTAGAAACTAAAAGAACGAGCTATGCTTATATAATATTTTAACACGTTTTTTAAATTCACGTCATTTGTAATATAATAATATAATATGATAATCTCTATAGATACATTGATAAAATAATAATAAGAACAATTCTACAGACATTCTAGGCAGCTACTCAATAATTTGTATAATATTTCCTACTCGGAGAATTAGCGGCAGGGGTAGATATGGTTGTGATCTTTAGCGAAAAGAAGTTACTGGAAATTGTTTCAAAGTATTATATGTATACCATAATATAAAATTAACTTATTTGTATAGTATTTACCCTGACTTGCGCTATCTTTATGGTAAGCACCGGACCAATGAAACTGGCGCAGTAATATACTATTGGAGACTCTGCTATTTGTTTATATTTTACCAGTAACTCCTTTCGACCGAATCTAACATTAAAATATTTGCTTTAATAAGTTTATGACCTTACGTGATCTTTTTATTTTAGGTCACATAGACTTAGTAAATAATCTACTTGCCAATCATGCAAGGGTGGATGTATTTGATTTGGAGGGCCGATCTGCGCTGCACTTGGCTGCTGAACAAGGTTACCTTCAAGTTTGTGATTCCTTGCTGACTCATAAAGCCTTTATCAACTCTAAATCAAGAAACGGCCGAACAGCGCTTCATTTAGCAGCGATGAATGGCTACATTCACCTGGTTAAGTTTTTAATTAAAGATCACAATGCCGTTATCGACATTTTAACCTTAAAGAAACAAACTCCCCTTCATTTAGCTGCAGCGGCAGGTCAAATTGAAGTTTGTAAATTATTGTTAGAACTAGGAGCAGATATTGATGCTACAGATGAACAAGGTCAAAAGCCTATTCATGCAGCCTGCCAAAATAACTATTCTGAAGTTGCCAAATTATTTCTACAACAACATCCCAGTCTTGTTATGGCCACCACAAAAGATGGAAATACCTGTGCGCATATAGCAGCTGCGCAAGGTAGTGTCACGGTCATAGAAGAACTTATGAAATTTGACAGACAAGGCGTTATATCTGCGAGAAATAAACTTACAGATTCTACTCCGTTACAAATGGCTGCAGAGGGAGGACACGCGGAAGTAGTCAAGGCATTGGTTAGAGCAGGGGCTAATATAACAGACGAAAATAAAGGAGGCTTTACAGCTGTGCATTTGGCAGCTCAATATGGTCATCTTCAAGTACTTGAAGTATTAAGATCTTCGAATACCTTACGAATTACAAGCAAAAAACTTGGAGTAACGCCTCTTCATGTGGCTGCCTATTTCGGTCAAGCTGACACCGTTCGAGAACTACTGACACATGTACCGGGCACTGTTAAGTCAGACTCACCAAATGGTGCTTCGTTGGTACCAGCACTGGGTAATGAATCTGGTATGACGCCTCTTCATTTGGCTGCCTTTTCGGGAAACGAAAATGTAGTTAGATTGCTGCTGAATTCCGCCGGAGTGCAAGTGGATGCTGCTACACATGAAAATGTAAGTAATATAGTTAATATAAATAAATGATATTAAAGGAGTAGTGCTATGAATTTAAATAGAAGAAAAGTTCTCAAGTAACTTGTGTGGGGGTTATCGGAGAGTTGAATTTTGCTAATAAACAAAGCATATTTACCCTTCAACTCAATATTATAATTATTGTTAAAAATAACCGCATTGTGAATATACCTGTCAAAAGATCTGCTTTTTAGTGTAATTTTCGTTTCTTTTTGCCATTTCGGACTAAAATACCTTTTTAGTTTTCTGTGTTATTTTGGATCTCTTTTACAGTTCAATTAGTTTCAGGTTTGTTCATCTGTGTCATTCTCCCGTTAGCCAGCTTTATACCACCAAAATATTTTCTTAAGTGATCTCATCATTTTTTCATTGTTATCCATAAGTTCTTTCAGCAGTTTGATCATAACTGCATGCACATCATTCTGTTCATCTTTTTCATTTTTCTGTGATGGTCTCTTTGTTTTTTTTTCTTTTTCTAAAACTCTAATCTTTCTCTCCTCTCTTCCGCTAATTACTTTCTGCTTCCCGTTTCGTTTTTATGTGCATTAATTTTATTTAAGTTACCTAAAACTTTATTTATTTCTTTATTTACCTAAAACTTTTGATTTTTATTGGCAATTCCGTTAAGAGGTTTCTTAATATAAATTAAGTTTAGAACTTGAATTTAGACTTAATTCTTAATATGCTCTTTTTATTAATGACTACATTTCATTCTACGCCTTAATCACTTTGTAATAAGCACTGTGGAAATAAGCCAAAGGCTAGTCGACCCATTAGACCTAAACTTCTTATCAGTGATAAAAAACTTTATTGCCAATGTTTTTGTCACATTGTTAGTAATCCTAAAGATGTTTTTAAGTATCTAGGTTAGAATAATAGTGTAACGATCTTACTTTTCCAGATTGTTCGTTTCTTTCACTATTTACTTAATCTCACTTTGTTTTAAGCGAAATTACACTTAATTCGCTGTTTTTCTGCCAGGAAAATTGTCATAGAAAATAAATATATTCCTTTCCATAAAAATATTTTTATATAGTAACAAATCCGTAGATTTTGTTGATTAATAACTTGTAATATATATTTATTTGTGTTTGCATTGAAATATGCCTAGGGTTACAATCCTATGCACCTAGCTTGCTACGGAGGACATGGTACAGTGGTTGGACTTCTACTTAGTCGTTCTGCAGAACTTTTACAAAGTCACGACAAGCATGGAAAAACGGGTCTGCATATAGCAGCGCAACATGGACATCTACAAATGGTTGAAGTTTTGTTAGGTAAGTTAAATGTGGTTGAAAATTCTATCTGATTATCTTCCAGTGCTACCCAGATATATCGCCTGGGCAATTGATAGTAGGTATTAGCTACGGATATATCGCATTCCAGACAGAAATCATCAAGCATTTCTCCTTGATCAGTACTTTTTCTATCGCCGTGTCTTCTCACCTTTCGTTTCCTATTTTTAGATTTTCACGAATAAAGAATATTATTACTCTATTTCTGTACAATTTGTCATTAGGATCATTACCAGAACAATACAGCCTTCCGTTATCTGTCACATGTTCCTAATCCGGGCCACCTCAGTTCGCTAATGCTCATGATGTTTATTTCAGCCTTTCAACTTCTTTATTTAGATTATTTAGTTTGCCTGTTGCAAAACCGCTGCTAACATTTCCGGTAGCGATATTAATTTTTGATTTCACTATTTTAAGCCAAGAAATTCTTAACACTCCTTTCTCCACTTTTACCAAAATTATACTCTTATTAATTGCTATGCGGTGGTGTCCAGTTGCCTTCCACATCGCAGTATTACAACCAGTTAAATCAGTATGTGACTTTCGTCTGTCATTTTCTAAAATTGAACATATGAAATATCTACTTTTCCATAATAGTGACACAATAATAATATAGCTGCTGCCCTATGATAGCATTTTCTACTACACCTAAAATCCGGGCTTGCACTTCCGCCTAATTCGTGGTTGCAATGTTTTTCTTATCCACCTTTATCGTAGTTGTGATTTTGATCTGTAAACCTACAGCTCATAAGGGTCAAGGAGTACTTACGGGGTGCAATCAGTCGAACTAAAACTGCTCTTTTTTTATCTTGTTCTCAGGGTCAGCTGCTTTAAATGTTGAGCTACTGCAGAGCCGATCTTTTAAAATAAAGTTCCGTAATATTTCATATTATAATATAAAACTCGATTGTGCCATGTTTTAGGTCAAGGTGCTGAAATTAACTCTCAGGATAAAAATGGATGGACGCCCTTGCACTACGCAGCTAGAGCTGGCCATGTTGATGTCGTGAAATTGCTGGTAGAATCAGGTGCTTCGCCGAAAGCAGAAACAAGTCTAGGAGCAGTTCCAATTTGGTTTGCTGCTTCCGAAGGCCACCATGCAGTCTTAGAGTATCTTATGACTAAGGAGCATGACACATATGCATTGATGGAAGACAGAAGGTATTTATTTTAAAGCAAAAATAATATCTTAGTATTTCCGTTACATTCATTAAGTTAAAGTATAAAAATGTTGTACAAATATGGCTAATGTGGGTACCAAGTCTACATGAAAAATATGACAGCCAGGTATATAGTCCAAATGACCAAGCTTTATTCTTGGTTAAGTTTATGAACCTTAGAAAGGAAAATTATTTTTAAATATTCTACTTTTCAGATTTGTTTACAACCTGATGGTTTGCTCCAAAAACCACAACAACAAACCCATAGAAGAATTTATTTTAGTGTCACCAGCACCCGTGGATACAGCAGCCAAACTGTCCAATATCCTTATTGTCCTATCTAATAAGGAAAAGGAGAGGGCAAAGGATCTCATAGCTGCGGGAAAATACTGCGAAGCAATGGCTACCGAGCTTTTGGCTCTGGCAGCTGGAGCGGACTCTGCGGGTAAAATTTTGACAGCGACTGATAGAAGAAACGTAGAATTTTTAGACGTACTAATAGAAAACGAACAGAAAGAAGTTATAGCGCATACTGTCGTTCAACGATACCTACAGGTAAACAATAGGTAATTTTTTTAGCTATAGCACGATATACAGATCTAACTATACCGATTATGATTCTTTCTTAAACTCGTTTCGCGCCGCTCATCTACGTCATTTGGGAACTAAAAATTTTCAACCTTCTATTTCCATATAAAGCTCTATATCGATTCATTCTAAAACTTGTTGAATTATAATTCATAGCAGAGATGCGATGATATAAATTTCTATGAAAGAGTTTACATATTTGTATAGTTGTGTTAATGTGTGCGGCTGGTAATGATGTGATGTGTATTTGGTCCGTAGTTGATAAATGAATTGATAATAAAATGCATTTTTGTTTCACAGTCCATACTATTTAGCCTTGGTTTCAAAGAGTTTAAAAATCCTCTGCAGTTCCTCTTTAGTTCTTGCCATTAACACCGTGTCGTTCGCAAAGGCCCGGACCTGGCTTCTGTTATCATAAATCGTACCTTTTGTTTGTATTTCTCCCTCTTCTTGTGGCTTCCAGCAAGAAATTAAAGAGTATTGTGGACAGCAGATATCCCTGATTTAGTCTCCTTCTTACTTCAAATTTTCCTGATAGGCTTCCTTCTATTATTACTCTATTGTGGGTCATCATTAAGGTCATTTTTATTAGTCCGATCATCTTTTCCGGAATTACAAGTACTCTTAGGGCATGGTACAGACGCCTTCTTATCACAGAATCCTAAGCTTGTGTACAATATATAAACTTTAACTGTTACTCATACGTACTGCTCTGAATAATTTTTAACACGAATATTTGATCTATCGTGGATCTGCCTTTTTTTAATCCTTTCTGGTATTCACCAATCTGCTTATATAAATGACTTTCAAGTCTATTTCTTATTCGATGTGACGATTTTTTCTCGTCGGATAAGAAGATTGTACCTTTTGTTTACAGGATCGCCATATGTTAAATTGTGATGCTGTTAACTTGTATATATTTACCACATTCACGTGCATGCCACGTGCAGTTGAACTAAGGTTAATAATACTTGAGGATTAAAAATTTATATTATAAGAGTTTAGTTAATACTTAAGAGTAATTAATCTAAATATAATTATATTAACGCATATTATATGACAAAACATTGTCAAATTTACATATAATTTGTTTTCAGGAATTATGGAGGGGAGCCCTCAACTGGGCGGCCTGGCGAACTCTCTTGCTGTTCGTGTTTTTTATAATATGTCCTCCAGTATGGATAGCCTTTACTCTTCCACTAGGTCATAAATACTATAAAGTTCCAATAATTAAGTTCATGTCGTATCTAACATCCCACGTGTACCTCATGGCATTTTTACTAATAGTGGGAATAACACCACCATACCCAGTGTTAAGAAAAAGTTTACTACCGTATTCTTATGAATGGATATTGCTGGTTTGGTTAAGTGGACTTTTACTATTCGAACTAACCAATCCGAGTGATAAGTCAGGTCTGGGCTGGATCAAAATATCAGTACTACTGTTCAGCATATTCGGAGTGGGGGTACATTTGCTAGCGTTTGTGTTAGACGACAAAGCCCACTGGCCCACTATGTTGTACTGTAGAAACCAACTGTTTGCATTAAGTTTCGTACTAGCGTGTGTTCAAATTTTAGATTTTTTATCATTTCATCATTTGTTTGGGCCCTGGGCTATCATTATTGGTAACTTAATGAAAGATTTAGCTAGATTTTTGGCTGTTTTAGCTATTTTTGTATTCGGATTTTCAATGCAGTTCGTTGCGTTGAATCAACCCTTCGCGAATTTAACCCCAAGCGAATTAATCCGACTAAACCGACAAGGAGTTATAAAAACAGGATATTTTACAGATGGTAAGTTATATATATCTTTATGCTTATAAATGTATTAGCAATATGTTAAATATAATATAAAGATGACCAACAGAAAATAAGTAGACAATATTTTTTAACCATAATTGGTTAAAAATATTGTTTAAAAAGTTACTAGAATAGCTTAAGACCCTCTCCAAATTATGACTTCATAAATTGAGTATAACTGCTGCGGTAAGATAAAATATGAATCGGGTAACAAGTGAAAATGAATGAAATAAAAAAGTTTACCGAGCTTACACAGAGCTCTTTATAATTTATATTGCTTATATTTTTTTACGAAAACGTACCTTTTTCAGCAAATCATTTGATACATTCTTATGACATGAGGTGATGCCCATAATATTTCCATGTTGCGAGCACTACGTCTTGAACGAAAGCCACGGAAGGATTAATGTAAATTTACAATGTAAGGGTTAATTCTTTTTTTTTTAATATTGCCCCAATACATTCATTTATTAAAGAAATAATTTCATTTTTAAAAGTGCAACGATAAGGATTCAATTGGACTAAAGGGTTAGCGTAAATCCTGGTGTACACTAGGGATATTCTTAGGAGAGCTTGGTCTCCTGGTACCTACTAGCCATTCCCGCAGAAAGTTAATTTAAAAATAAAAAATCCCCAAAAATACAAATACTTGTGAGACTAGAATAAATCGTGTTACCATTACTGTTTAATTTTTAGAGTGGAAGTATTTGACTTAAATTGTGTAAGCAAGGAGTGAGCAGTATTAACTACTGAATGGGGATGTCTCTCGTCATGGTTCATTCTTTTCTTAATCCCGTGCTTTGATATGATCCTATGGAGCATAAATCAAAATTACATCAAGCCCAGTCGCTACTTAACTCTTTGCGAATGGAAGAACTAAGAACCAATGTAAAGGCTCAAATTCTAGAAAAATATTGAATCAGGAGACAAACCACCTAGGAACTCTATTTACACTAACAGAACTCCACGATGGTATGGCTTAGACTTAAAAATGGGAGAGCTGCGGGTGTAAATAATATATAGAGTAAACAAATATAGCCCCTATGCGAAGAAGTAAAAAAGTAGATATTGCAGCTCTATAACATGTACTGTAAAGCCTGCGAAATTTCAAAATCAAGGAAAAATTTTAAAATAATAGACTTAATAAAACCAGGAAGTGACCCAAGGAATCCCAGTAGTTACACATCTATTGCCCTATTGTGTCATTTTTTTTTAAACTATACGAGAAACTTATCTTGGTCAGAATAGAGAAAATTGTTGACAAGCACCTCATCCTACAAGAAGAAGGATTTGGTCGCAGCAAATATTTCACTAGATAAGTCCTTACAGTAACAAAACACACTGAAGAGGATTTCGAAGAAAAACGTGTAACAGGCTTTCATAGAAATAACAACCTATGACACAATAAGGAACAGGACATTGTTCCACGATTGTACGTCACTCTCAATAATCACTATCTAGTTCTAATTTTACCTAAGGTAGTCTTATAGGTCAGAGAAAGTTTGATGGGTTTATTAACTTACATAATTATAAATCATTACATAGTTTCTACCCATTGTTTCTATGCATATATTTTCAGTAGTTAGATCATTTATCTTTGTTACTTAGGTTTATTAGTTCCTTTACGTAAGCTAACCTCTCAGTTATTAATACAATATTATTTAAAACTCTCGAGGAGAAATACTCGATAGAGTGTCGGACGTGACAAAACATTGTTACATTGCTGCATTGGTAAAGATGCCATGTACACAGAAATCCGATGAGCTTGCCAGACGAGGATCAGCTACAAAATACTTCCGGTCGTCCACGACCAAAAAAAGCATGGATCCTAACACAACATAGTTTCCACTGAATTATGTTGTGGTAAGTATTGCTTTTATTTGCGTTTATGTTTATTGATTTAAATACCTGTCCATATTGTTTTATCCTACTCTGCAATGATTTTTACCGTTTTCTAATCATCAATAACTATCAAATAACAATGTATCAGCGCATGCTTATAGCGACCTACATATACAGAAACATAAAGTCAAACCTTCTTATCGACGCCAATTTAAGCAAACTGCATTAGAGCTTGCTAAAAGCTACAAGACGATGTTAGGAATAACTTTATTCTAACAATACATCACCAGCAGATCATGCAAATTTTTAATTTATAGGGTAAGTTTTAGTGTGGCATTGGTCAAAAATTCCATAATAGTACAGAATATCCAAAAAAAAATATTAAGAAAAAAATGCAGGCAATGATATTCTCCAGGCTTGGATAAAATGCCGAATTCTGCAAGTAGACTAATAACTACGTGGTCAACCAAATATACAATTTTTAAGTGGGACATTCTGTATATTTTCTCATATTTAGATTCCTCTCATAATCCTATTTCTTACAGAACTACTATACAGAGTATTTAACGAGTTCTGACGATTTTTATTTAGAAATCGCTTTGAATAAACACTACGTATATAAAGAAGAATAAGTCACTAGTATTCATTTTACATAATAAGGTAAACATATATTCTAGTCTTCAAACTAAGTTTAACAGCAATCATTAACGAATATTCATATACAGGGTGAACTACAAAAAAAAATTACGATTTTCCAAAAAATTTTAAATGCACAACTCTATATTTTATTTTTTTTCAAAGATTGCACTTGTGATACTCATTTTCATGAAAAATTTCCTCTACCTAATATCATTACTATCTGAGATATTTTTAGTGTTCTTAAAATTTCGGCAATCCCTTTATATTTTATAAGTATAAATAGCTTCTTAACTTCATCTCAGTGTTAATGTGCCTGTTTCGCCATTATAGTGTTATTTAGGCATCCTACGAGTCTATTTGCTTTTTGTACTTGATCTCTTACTACTTTGTCCAGGTCTCCATAACTGAACAATGTAATTTCCCAGGTATTTTATTTCTATTACTTGTTCAATACTGATGCCATCAATTTATATTTTACATCTGATTGATTCTTTGCTGACCACCATTGTTTTAGTTTTCCGAGATGAGATTGTCATATTAATTTTTTTTGCTCTTATGTTAAATATGTGGACCAGTCTTCGCAGACTATCTTTATCTTTAGCCATTAATTATGCGTCGTCTCTGTAACACAGTATTTTTATTTCTTTGTTTCTCATTCTGTATCCATTTCCTTGGTTAACGTTTTTGATGATTTCATGCATGATTAAATTAAAGAGCATAGGGCTCCTAGGTGAGTAGGCTGCATAGGTGAGTATTACAGTTGTTTTTAGGTTAATGTTATATCAACAGTACTTTAAGCCAAAAAGCTTTTAGTAAAACATTCTTAGCTCTTGATTGTAATGAGCAATTAGTCAGTCAAAGGCCATTTCTGACAGTTAACAACAGTAATCAGTAGGCTTTGAAAAAATGACAGTTTTCATATTATTATCTTTTTAATCGGTCTGTAAGCTTGTCTTTAATTAAAACAAGACAGATATAATCTGGGTATTAGGGGAAAGTTCAAGAAATGGAGTATGTGCATTCAGAATATATCAACAGCGATATCCTGATAGAACTATCCATATGTATCCATGTATACATATCGCATACAGCTACATTAAGAATTGACAATCGATTATTATCTTCGCATATTAGCTTTTTATCAATGGTCTCAGCAGCAAGTGCAAAGTTACTGATTTTTTTTTATTATCTACTTTAGGAGTCATATTCAAACTAGGTTATCTATAAATGTTTTGGGTGGTATTGTTGAGGACTATTTGATTTGACCACATTTTTCTGACGCTTGTTTGAATAGTTCTCTATATTCGGATTTTCGAAATATTCATTTGCAATTACTACTAAAAAATTATCCTTAACTATTAATAGTTACTTAATTACTGAATACTTAATATTCAACAAAGAATGTGGTTTTTACTCGACGGTACTCAAGTTAAGTACATTGCTCTTAATTAAAATTATCTAAACAATAACTTTCATATGAGGTGAATAGGCAGAAGACCAACTGTTGGGTCACCGCGATCACCTTCTTCTTCTTATTGCGTCGTCTCATTTCTAAGGTTGGCGATTCAAATGGCAACTGTAGCTTTGGAAACTGCTGGACGAAAGATTTCTGTAAATAAGCATCTCCTCAGGTCTTTTAACCACGAGTTCTGCCGTCTTTTAACTCAGTGGTTCCTAACCTTTTTCCCTCGAGGACCACAAGATCCATAAGAAAACGTCTGCGGACCACATGATTTTATAACTATTTAAATTAAATTGAGAACTAGAGAAATATATTTTAAATCCTTTAATATACATTGTATTAAGAGTAATTAATTAGAAAAGAAACATAGTTATAGTCTTAATATAGTTATAGAAACATTATAAATCTATTGTAAAACGCTTACAAAATATGACATTAAGTCTCTCAGTGACTTCCTTGGTTTTGCATTTTACTGGCAAGATCTTCGATATTTGGCTTCAAAGAGGTCAAACTCAACCTGAATGGAGCATCCAATTTAAACAACCTGTTACGATGCTTATTCTTAATAACATTTAGTGTTGAAAATGCTGTTTCACGAAGATATGTAAAATTTAAAGGAAGTAGAATTTTCAAGGCTTTTTGGCTGAGGGTTTGGTACTAATCAAGTAACTTGATCCAAAAGCTTGCAATATTGTCACATTGTATTTTGACAACTTCAAGCTGAGGATCAGAAGATATCTCAATAGGTTCTTCCTGTTCATTAAGTGGAAGATCAATATCCTTGAGTGGTAAAAAAGGATTTGCCACCCACAAGTTTTTAGAACTGACGTCAGAACTGGCAGGGAAATAGTTGTCAAAATACCCTTAAAGCGATGCTATGTAAGCCTTTACCAAAGATGACAGCTGTTCTTTATTTATATTCATACCTTCCGTTTCTATTATAAATTCAGAAAACAGATTAAACATAGCAAAAGATCCTTTCTCTACTTCAGTTTGCCATAACTTTAACTTTTGTTTGAATGCAGCAATTTTTTTCCACAGATCGAATACT